AGATTTTTTCAGATTCACTGGGATCTGCTCCAGAAAACCCTTCACTCGTTTCTACTGTATTTCTATAGTGTCACGGCTCATTAGGCGGCTGGTGCAGATCCAAGTCCACAGTTCAACATTCAGAAAGTGAAAAGATCAAGAGCAAAACAACTGCAGTGCAAAGGGCCTCAGCCGTAGTTCAGTGCATGTATGCAGCAGTGAATAAATATGATTGGTGATTATAGACACACACACACACACAGACACACACACATATTCTCCCAGGTGGCTGAATTGTCTTCTGGCCAATAATCCTCTCTGCATTGTGTCGGCCCCCACTCCCTCGGCCCCGGGCTCCTGCGTCTCTGAGTCGGGCACACAGCTTCTTCCTGGCAACACAAAGAGCACTTCTGTCATCGCCATGACAATGGCAGTGTAGGATGATTGGCAGATTATGAAATGGACCAATGGCAAAGCAAGGAAGGGTTGCCAAGTGATCGAGAAGCTTCTGGACCTCCAGTTTCTGACCCCGGGTCAGTTTCTCAGGGGAACAAAGTGACTTTTGGCCAGCGATTCCATATAACGCAACACTATATCAACGACGTCATGTTCTTCGTATGTCTTTCTAGGAAGGCCTGAGAAGGCCAGACACGTCTAGATCTCACTAACCCGCCCGTTCACATACTGTATGTTTGATTAATAAATATTCATACCCTGCTGTTGCATGATGGATGACGAGCCGGTTCTGAGCGAGTGGAAGCTATACGCTGAGATTCAGAGTCGGAGACGAGGCGCATGGGTGGCGCAGGAGGTTTCAGGATGGAGAGAAGAAAGCCTCTTTTCTTGAAGTGACACTTGATAGATGACCAAACATCCTACAAACCTTCAGTGTCAACAGACTCTCAACACTTCTATTGAAAACACTAAATAATGTATTTAATTACTGATAGGAACAAACACTTTCCATTTAGAGATCGGTACATGTTCACATAGCTGTTAAAAAGCGTTTAATTTTCACAGTTTTAAAACATTTGTCAATGACTTCCGTACATGTTGCCAAACCAACCACCTGAGACATAGCAACACTGAGATTAAAGGGTTAGTTCACCCAAAAATTACAGTTCTGTCATTAATTACTCACCCTTGTGTCACTCCAAATCCATAAGACCTTCGTTCATCTTCAGAACACAAATTAAGATCTTTTTCATGAAATCCCAGAGCTTTCTGACCCTGCAGAGACAGCAACAGAACTGACACGTTCAAGGCCCAGAAAGGCAGTGAGGACAAAGTTATTGAAGATGAACGAAGGTCTTACGGGTTTGGAACGACATGAGGGCGAGTAATTAATGACAGAACTTTCATTTTTGGGTGAACTATCCCTTTAACAGTAATGAGTCAGATTGTGCTTTATTCTACTAATATGTGTTGAGTTTAAATTATGAATCTGCATTTTAATGAGCAGCAGTGAGCATCATGCGTGCCAGTCTGTGCCACCCCGTGCCCATCTGTTGTGCGCCAAATCATCTTTCCTCTCGTTTTAGAGGCCATTTGGCGTGAAAATCTCAGACTAGGCTATCGAACGCAGTGGAAAGTATATAAGTGTGTGTGTGTGTGTGCGCGCGTGTGCGTGTGTGTGCGTACGTGCGTGTGTGTGTGCGTGCGTGTTCGTGTGTGTGTGTGTGTGTGTCTGTGTGTGTGTGTGTG